CTTCAGGAGATGAAAGAAAATGTTTTTCTCCCTGAGTCTGGCCTTCATAATTCCATTCCATTACAGCTTCATACGTTAAAGACAGCTTAAAGTTGTCTTTTTTGTTTGTTTGTTTGTGTGTGTGTGCCTTCAAGTCAGTCTTGGCAACTGCCTGGACTGGTCCCTGCAGTTTTCTTGGCAAGATTTTGGAAGTGGTTTGCCCTTGCCTGCTTCCTAGGGCTGAGAGAGAGTGACTGGCCCAAGGTCACTAGAACTCACAGTCTCCCAGTTGGACATGTTGTAGAATGTTTCATCAACAATGTTTCATTGTAGTTGATGATACACTCAGGATTTGGGTCTGCCTGGCTCCTGCTGGCCACAAGACTGCTGTGGGCTTGCCCCCTCTCCTCTGGCCACTGGTCAGTGCTCTCCATGGCCATTTTGGCCTGGGCTGAAGCACAGATTGGGCACCCTCTCATTTCTGAAGTGCTTCTCAGATCTTACATGAGTTTCTTAAATGCACAGGTATGTGCTTTTTTGAAAGACCACTAGACTTCTTTTTAACATAGGCTTAACGTAGCTCTATAGTGCTGCACAGAAGCAAGAAGCTTTCAGTTGCCAATGAGGAAATAGTTGAAGTCCAACTCCCCCCTGCCCCAAACCTTCAATGAGATTTCCTACTCTCTGAGACCTTGGTCTCCGTTTCTCCCCCATCTGTGATCAAAGGGGACAATGTTGGGAGTTGGGAAAAGGGAAAGATAGAGACAGTGATCACATGTAGTTGAATTGTCTAGCTCTGAAAGTAACAGTTGCTTGCATGGATTCATTCATTCATTTCTTCTAGCAATGTGGTGTGAAGTGCTTCTAGACAGGCACCTAATTTGTTGCAGGGATGACAGCAAGATGCAAACTTTGGAGGGAGGAAAGGAAGAGAATTAAACAAGATTTGTAGTTTGGGGTGGGGGAAGGCTGGGCATCTCCAGCTTTCCATCCTTGGGAGAGCTCCAGCCCATACTGAATGCCTCTCTTGGAGTAAGTGTCTCCCATCCTTTTCCTCTCTCTCCAACATTGAAAGACAGAAAAGACTGTGGTGTGGGGAGAGGAAGAACTTCATGAGCATAAGGGAGGAATAAGTGGCTAAGTGCCCTAGAGACTAAAGTCCCCAATTGATTTTCTCCAAGCTGGTCAGTGATGGGGATGGGGCGGGGGGACACTTCTAATCACTTGCCATGTGGCTATAAATTCACTTTTAGGCTAAGTTCCAGGCAGGGCATTGGAGCTAAAAATAAAAAAGTAAGTCAATAGGAAATAAGTTATAGATGTCTAGAATTGGAACTGCCATTTTTTTGTGGTTGTGTAGGCTATGCTTAACAATTTTGTGGAACTGATGTCTGCACTGAATGGGGCTAAGATGCTAAATGGGTGGGATGTGTGTGGGCCCATGATTTTGGGTTATTTCTGTTTTTCAGAGGGAAGGATATTATTACTACTACTACTATTATTGGGCATAAACTAGTTTTTAATGAGCTTTCCACCTCAAAAAAGCAAGAGAATGTGCCACAGAATCTGGGCAATTGGAAGGAGTTCAGAAAGTGGGTTTGGAATATACTGTACTCCTGGGGACCCAAGTTGTCTACCTGAGAACAATAATATGGAAGGGGGACGGTGGGAACTTTTTCTTTAGAAAGTGTTCCTCTAATTCAATAAGAGGTATCATGTTAAAAGAGACATTTTTCCTGTGTGAGAGTGAAGGCAAAATCCCTCTTTTATTACAGCTTCTCTGGTGCAGTTTAATAGTATTTATATTTTTAAAAACAAACGTGCTAATTCATTTGTTTTGCCTTTTTAACTAATTAACTAAATGGATTCCATTTATCAGTCTCGCCAAGTAATCAATGAAAGGTTGCAGGCCAAATTGTTAATGTGTTGCATTCTTTTGTTGTTGATCTCTGATGCCATCCATTCAGAAAACAGGTTGCCCATAGAAACATTGCCAGAGATGATAACCACAAGGCACGTAATTCCGCCAAAGATTCTGGGTAGGCTGATGTATTTCTGAGATGATTCTCCCCGAGTCCCTCCTTCCCTCTCTCCCTTTAGAGACTGATGTCTACAGGGTCACGGAGCAGCATATAAATTGATGCAGCAGATCACATAGTAAATGCGCACAGCTGGATCAGCAATAGCTTGGTTAGAGAGAATATTTTTGGTGGTATACCCACCCATATTGCACTTACTGTCTTAATTAGTAATTAAAGTTATTTCTACATTTTAAAACTGGTTAAAATGTGTGTGATAAAACAGCAATTGCCGAAAAGTTGAAGGAGGACATAATTTCTCAGTTTGTCAATATTCAGAATAACTGACTAAGTGTAATGGTATGTAGGAATGACCTTGGGAGACAGGAGGAAGACCAGACAACCATCATGCAGATGCTATCTCAGCCCACAGAAGGAGGAAGAGCATGGGAAGCATTTCAGAAGGGACCCTTTCTAGTTGTCTGGAGAGTAAAAGGAGGGGAGGAATACTTTCAGTGTTGCAAGATTCTGTTAATGTAACCTTACAATAAAGATAAAGTTAGTATTCATAGTTGAGCTTCTTGTCTGGACTACCTTGAAAGGCTAACAACAGGATACTAGACTAAGGGATAAAGATTCCCAGTTTTATGCTCAATAAAAGTATAGTAAGTAATGAGTTTGCTGGGTCAATTCAATGATTATTTTTTTCCCTTTTTCTTTTGTAGACTACCAATGGCCTTAACACAACTACAGCTTCTGTGCTCCAGTTTTCAATAGGTAAGTTTTTATGATGACTTTAAGTAAAAGACAAGAGAAATGCAACTCAAGTTTATTCAATTCACTTTATGCTGAAAACAGAGATGTGTCTACTTCTACCTTCTTGGGTAATTTTAAATAGTCACATTTTTTAATATTCCTTTTGGCCTAGCTTATTTTGTTTTTTTCAGATATGCATTATATTAATTCTCTTTAAAAAAAAAGAAGAAAAAGGTCCACAAAAGTGTTTATGTTTTAAGTGCTCAACAAAACAAAGACCCTTCATATATATTCATGCCATGTTATCCAATGAATTTTAAAACATTTAAGACATTTAGGAAAAAAAGGAAATTCCAATTGTCTACACACTATGCAGTTTTCAAGCAGGTTTTTGTTTTTTTTCCGGATCAAACAAAAGGGGAGCTCTTCAGATCAATGAATAATAGATGGAGAATTAGTGTATTTCTGGTCTTGGAGAACATGCAGTATTCATTTCATTCCTCCTCCTTTTGTCTCCAAATCATTGGTATTTAGTTTAAAATAACATAAATTTTTAAAAAATGAGATTTCCAATACAAAATTAATATGTGAAATAACTTGCATGCAAAATAGATTCACTGTAGAAATGGCCATGTTATATGAACTATCGCTATAGTCTGAGCACCACATCTCCAACTGTCAGCTGAACACACCAATTTCTTTCTGGAAAGATGCATTTGTGTCCAAATTTATGTTTAAATACATACATTTAATTGAATCAATTATAATTGTAAATCTATAAGTATATGATGTAGAAGCCAAAATAGTCCTTTGCTGATATTTGTATACCAGAGATTCCAATTTCTTATTCCATTTCTCTCTCTATTCTTCCATTTCTTCAACATTTAATTTAATTAGGATATCCAAATAGTATATTCAAATAACCATCTATAAATTGCTAATATAATCTTAACGTTTTATAATGAAGATGTTAGTCCTTTGATGCTAGAGGTCAGGGGTGTCCATAGGCTTAAATGGTGGCCATGACAGTGCAATCAAAGTGATGTACATAAAAAATGGGCAGAGCTTTGATCACACCATCATGACCACCATCTTAACTTTTTGGACTACACCCTGCGGACACCCTGCTAGAGGGGATTCTGAGCTACTTAGAGATGTTGCCCCATATGAAATGATACTTTAACTGAAGTTATTGCCACAGTCCACTTTTTGGCTAATAATGCATACAGTAATCTTCATCTTGTTCTATTAACTGGTGTAAGGTAGGCACTTCACACTACATCCACGTTCTGCAACTAAGGGACTGCTTTGCTATTTTCAATTCTGGATTCCTCACAGTGTTAACTTGATCATAAGTATTCAGATGGAATATGTGGAAGTTGAGTCATGGCAACTGGACTTCTTATCTTTTGGTTTGATATGTTTTGCTGCTTGTCCATAGCCCTGTCTATAGATAAATACATAAGATATACTAGGATCTGTAAGACATTATAATAATTTAAAACTATCCTAACTTGTAATGAGCCTAATACTTACCATAGTCCTAGGATTTGATTGGGGTTACTGCAGTCATAACCCAACCAATTTGAAGTGAAATAATAACAAGATAAAACATAGTGTAACCGGAATGGTATATGTGTGTTACATTACAATGGGAAAAATTAAGAACTCTTCTAGTCTTTTTAGGGATGATATTGTACAAGTAACGAGCATGATGGTTTTGCAGGGCACGTCTCTGGTGTGCTGCTTGAAAGATGTTTGCCCTGATCTAGACCCATTGGACTCAGGACATCGGGGAGAGTCTACTTGGGGTGGCACCAAATAGTTTCCACCAAGAAGTCTGGAATATGTCTTGAAGAATAAAAAAATGCCAGACAGCTTGGGTTAAAGATGAGTTCGAGCCAGTAGCTAACAGGGGCTTTATGGGCTATATGAGTTTTTATTGGAAGTATTCCAGCCTTAGCCCAAAGAACTGAATTAAGGACACAACAAGGAACCAAAAAGAAGTTCCTTAAGAAGTTTGATTGAACAGCTTCTGATGGATCTAAATGCACATACTCAAAACCCGTAAGACAGCTGTGCTGCTACTTTGGCCTCAAACACTTTTCGTCCACTGGATATGTATTTACCTCCTATTGTGTGAAAAAAACTTACAGTGACACTTCTTCTGATCTTCTGTTTTAGAGATTGAATTTGGGCCTCCATGAGCCAGTAGCATGGAAAACAATTCCAAGTTATCTGAAGGCCTGAATTTGTTTGATATTATTCAAGTTTATTTGCCACCTATAGTAAAGGACTTCTTTGAAAAGTCTGTAATTTTTGTTTATGATACTTAATAACTGAATAGTTGTCTGTGCACTAAGAGGCACTAAGATTTTAGTGAATGAAGTAGAGATAATGGCTACATCATCTGCATATAGGAGTAATGTAATAGATCTACCAGCCAGGTCTGGAGAGTGATGTTCTAGCTTTGGAAGTCTTGCCATCATATCATTGATGTAAAACTTAAATAACAAAGGGGCTAGAATACAACCTTGCTTTATGCTTTTGTAGGAAGGTGCCAGGTCAGAAAGTTGACCTAGATTGTCAAGCCTGATTTGGAAGGGAGTGTTGTTATGCAACATTTCAGCGAGTGCCAGCAAATGTCTGACTCCAGTTTGGATCACAGTTGTTCTCTGGAGACTGAGTTGAAGGCCGTTTTAAAATCAATAATGTCACATATAAGCCCCCCTCTGTGGGAAGATATATATTTTTGAATTAGATGTTGTAAGACCAAGCACTGCTCCATAGCTGATCTCCCCATCTTGATATATAAAGGAATGCCACGCATGGTATAAAATGACCATGAGAAAACATTTTTCCCCAAATACTCAATTTAAGTGAAGCCCATCTACCCAAATCTTTTACTATTTCTAATAAATGTTTGCAGTAAGTGAAAATAACTTACATCACCAGCCTGAGTTGGAGAAGAAAGAAGCTGATCACTGCTCTAAAATTGCTTCCTGCATGTTAAATCAACACTTCTGATAATGGCTGAACAGTATTAGCAAATGCTTAAGAATCACAATTCATTTTATTAACCTTGGTCATAGGCATCACATGAGTCAAGATGGCAGCCGTTGCATCTGATGCCCCATCAGATGGGGCTTTGATTGCATGACTGTGGCCACAATCTTGATTTTTCTTACCACAACCCTGTGGGATGCTATGTAAATTCTGCCCCTTACGTCCTGCATGTGATGTCACTATGAAAGGGAGGGCTTGCTTTGTGATGTCACAAGGCACATTTTATGCTTTTGGCATCACCATGGTGAGGAATGGATTACTTTTGATCTTGGTATGGAAGCCACAATATTTAATCTGCAAGCAGGTTCCTGTGTATGTTAAGCCATAAATCTCAGTCCTCGGCCTAGCTACAGGTGCTGAAGTTCAAGCATAGATCAGACTATAAGGAATGTAAAAAGAGTTTAGAGAAGATCCCCTTAGTCCTGCCTTCTGTTTTATTTCCATCACATATATTTTGTTTTTCGTAGCATACAGTAGTTTTTCTGTCATGCCAACTATGTAGCTATGGAAATCATGTTGGAGTGTTGTCTTCAAATTATATAGACAGCTGTTAAATCTTACTATGAATTCTTCCAGAAGTGTGACAGGGTAAGCAAAAAAAAAAAAAAAGCAAGTGGATTTTCAACACAAATAGGAAAAAAAAAGTTTTTGAGGAAATGATTCAGTTGTGTGTGGGAAATTAACCATTTGACTGTAAAGATAACTCAAGAATGAAGAAGCGAGGTGGATGCAGAATTCTAGAAATGTACTTGCAAATTAAATTCTCATTTTTTAACAACCATTTATTCCAGCTGAGTGTTTCTCAGTGGGATTGTGATTTTACAGTGGCGAACTTTATTGGAGATGAACACTGTCAGATTGACTCCCTACTTTGAATTAAATGTAAAATTCAGAAGGTCCGAGGAATGTATTTTATGATTGCATTTTACTTTGATTTGTTTTATTAATATTTTTAAAATACTAGACAAATAATAGCATTGGCCTTTTAGCTGGGTTGTTAGTTTCATAGTGAATTCTAATGTTCATTTTTCTTGTTTCCATAATACTTAGCTGATAGTTGTGATCTAACTGGATTTTTTATTTTTCTTATTATTTTTTATTTTGTTATTATTTTTTGCAAAATCAGTACTTTGGAACAGTCTTGTAAAATTTCTCCTTGGTCATACATCTGCAGAAATACCTTCCATCAAAACCTGTAGCCTTGCACTTAGCTGTTTCTAACTGAAGGAGTCATAAATCTGATCCATTGTCCAAGAATAGAAGTAACAAAGGGATTGTGTTAATTTATACTCAAATGTAGGTTCCGCCAAGTTCTTCCCATAATGCAGTCAAAATAAATGAAAAAAGCAAAAACAGAGTCAGAATCTCAGGAATTTATTTAGTATTACCTTTCTATCCTGCATTTTTCCATGGATCTCAGGGCAGTGAAGCTTTGTTTTTCCAAACTTCATTTTATCCTTACCACAATCCTGTAAGGCAGGCTAAAACTGATTGCAGGATATCTGCTAAGCTTTGTGTACAACACACAAAAAAACCAGGGGCCGCTTTGATCGCATGGGTATAGCTGCCAATTTGACTTTTTTTTTTCTTTTTAACATAGCCTGCAAACACCCCTATACCCCGAAATCTATGTCAGCTCCTCACCTGGAACCTGGGGGGTTTCCAGCAAGGAGGAAAAAAAAAATGCTTACTTTGTAAGGACTAGGGAATGAAACCGCTTTTTTTGACAGACATGAGCTTGCTTGTTTAATGCGAGGTGTTCAAGTCATATGGTCCAGGAGCAAGTACTCTGAGTAAACCTGACTGATCATCTGTTGTTTAGCGCTTGCTGTCTGCTTGTCAAAGTGTCTAATGCTCTTTCTGTTGTGACAGTAACAGATTGTCCTTTGAAAACCGTGGGCAACAGCTGAATGCCCATTTTTTTCCCCATTCAGCTCTTTCACTGCCAAAATGCC